CATTTCCCCTCAACGAGCGACAATTTAGACAAACCTAAGTAGAGAAGAAGTTTGTTATTGACTGTCGGATCCAAGACACATGAAGTTGAACATTTATAATACGTTCTTTAAGCACGTTCATTCAATTAATTCTTGACCGTATGAGAAAATATAATACAGTATTGAGTAACTCAAACTCTACATTGAATTTGTGGTTGTTCGTGGATCACGCGACAACGGCATAGACGCTTTAGTTCGTATAACAGCATAAGAAAATGAAAAAAATAGCTATCGAGTTTCATTACATCATAAACCACCACCCAATAGTCCGAATTTTCGCTTTATCACATCCCATTCGTTCTAGAAATTTTGCGCAAACTTTAGGATTGATTCCCAGACACGTGTGCACTATGAAACAGATTACTAGACCTTCGCAGATTTTGGTCAGAACCCGAGCATGTGTAAATTTACACACATACCTAATCTACTCTACAGGACCATATGCCAAAGCAAACAAAGTTGGGAAAACATTTATGCACATATTCATAAATAATATAGCTTATATAACCGTATGGCTAAACCATGGAATTGATAGTCTACTCCATTTACCGTAAATTTCACCTAGGATTCGTGATATACAAATTTAGCCAGAGAGATTCTTACTTTGTCTCAAAAATACACAAGACTTGCTCACAGACCACTGTATGCATCTTTTTCTGTCCACAATTCACTTCTGCACTCACTTTGTAGCGCAGTAACAAACATAAAACAAGAAACGGATATTAGTAAGAAACATTCCTAAAGTTAGAAAAACTTGTAGTATTTGATTAAAAGGTCTAATTTATTGGTCAAACCAACGGAAAAATGAATGGAGTTTTACCAACGAAAACATCATCAAAATGTAAAGTCAGGCAGTATATTCCAAAATGAAGTTAAGTGAAATAACATATATGAAATCCGGTTTATGGAATACAATATAAATAGTTTTTAAGGAAGCTGAGAATGGTGCTAACCCAATATAGGCGATTTGTTACCCAATGTAGGTAATTATTGATCCACAAGAAGGGCAATAAGCAATTCAACTACCAATGTCAAGTTTCTCAAATTTCGATTTATGTCTTGAAGGATAAACTGGACTGAATTTGTTAATGTTAAACTGATTATATATTCTTATGAGGACCATGCCAATATCACCCTCCGTTCGGTTGAGCTTCCAAATACTAATAGTTTTTTGGCATACTATTGCTTTTATATTCCAAGTTGATGTGGCAGTCCACTGTGATTCACGTAATTAATGACCACATGAGAGCTCCTTCGCACGACTGATAAGTTTATTTTTCAGCCACATTTTTTCAATACGAATGAAGGACTCACTTTATTTATCCGGGGATCTCGATTGAATCTGACCCTAACTGGAAGATGGATAAAGCACTCGAGTTCTTTCTCTGGTCAAGTGACAATTGGATTCATTCGCCCTCGTAATTCAGTGCAAAATCTACCGTATTCCGGACAAATTTACCTTGAATCGAGATTCAAAACTCACATGACCCAAACTGCAGCTACACATGTCTACTGTCAAGTTGAAAGGAACTAAGATGATTCGAGAAAAAACTATAAAAAATAGTTACTCCGTGAAATTATTCACTAATACTTACCTACAAATGAAGGTTTACTCGACATGATACATCAAAAACATTCACTAGAATCTCTGGTAGATTATTGTGTTCAATTTTTTTCGGGCATATGCAGTGAATACCTATCTATCACAAACAAAAGATTTCATTGGAGATGTAATTAAAATGAACTAGGTTTGTAGGAATGTACTCTCATCGTAAGAAACCACCAGATATCGCCTTATCAATAACGCTACTCTCCAAGAATGAAGAAAACGTATGGCCATTTTCCTCTTTGTGGTCTTCAAGATCAAATTAAATTTTAAAGATCCAACAGGTGAAAAATTCAATTTGAACGTTACAAACATAGATCATAGAAATCCTCTCATCGGATAGATATGCACTTGAGAATTGAAGAAAACTGAAGGTCAACAGTAACGTCCTTCACGCACGATGACTAGTCAAATATTAGATCTAGTTAGGCGTTTTAAGGTATTATGTGAAAAGAATCCTGATAAGTCAGAAGCTGTTGTTGCTATTGAAGTCCTTGCTCAACTTCATGAATGTTCAGATGTTACAACAGTTCAAGGTCTTCATGATGTAATGAATGCAGCTATAGAGCGTATGTGGAAAGAGGGAGTTAGCAATCTCTCCGTTATATCAGCTTGTGAATTATTCCAGCGTTTTATTACGCTAGCAACACTGGATACAGTCGATTTTGATGAATGTAAAAAAGTTCTTTCGGAGAGGGCCCAGATATTTATCAGGAAGGCGAGTGTAATCTCAACCATTCTAATCAGGGGATTAATATTTTCGATGATTTGTCTCAGTATTGAGTTAATGGTTTTTATTACACAAGTTCACTTTTCGATTATAAAATTGGGAAATGATTAGCTCGAAACTTTGCTTTCGTATAGTGCTGAAGGAATTACTTGTTCCTTAGTTAGTGTATCAATGCACACTTACCTACTGAATAATATCCCTTAATTTTGTTACTGGTAAAACTACAAAGACCTTTCTATGAAGACCAGTTTATCAAGAGGTCGACGTGAAAAAATTGTGGAAGACTTTCGTCATCCTAAATTTAAACACTTACCCAACATTGAAGCTACCCTATCAGCTATGAGTGTTCTACTTTTGAATCGGCATCGATAAAAAGGAAACCTGAGTTTGAAAAAATACTTTCGTCAAACGTTTTACTTCGGGTTTATGGTACCTCTGCCTCGGGATTTCTTGTGATTCGTGTGAGTCATGTTTAAGTGCCTATCCCTAAAATATTTACTGCGCGATAACTAGAAGCAATTCATAATCACCAGAACGGAGACAGATGCATAAGTATCCAGCATTATCGTTTAAAACCTCTTTTATGCACTATTTTGTAAGGCTAACACATTGTAGCTTCATGGGTGATAATTTCTGTTTTAGCGTTGATATCCTGTGCATTTTAAGTTTTATTCCATACATAACATTTCCCTAGAGTTATTGACACATTTTTACCAACTTTCAAGCATGCTTTACTTTTTGTTCGACAAAGTTACTATGCTTACTTCAACCTCGTGTAAGCTAAAAAGAATGTTAATTTATGTATTCATATACCCCAACTACCCGAGATTCTATCTAATGACCTATTAACCGTCAGTTTTATATTTCCTGGGTGTATATCACTTTTAAGTTTGATCTGTTTTGTTTACGTTACGTTTATTTTTATTCAAACATTATTATTGTTTGCGGCACCTACCACCAATTTATCATTTGACTTAAGTACTACATTTGTTGACTACTTCGATGTCAAATAGATGTCCTACTCAACGTAGTTTCTTTAAACCCAGAGTAACAGTTGGGACTGTGGTTAGCTGAAATCATTAGTCTTCCGACTGTTAACATTATTTTTGTTAAGGGAAAAATCGTAATAATAGGAATATTTTATTACTCTAGTATCATATTTCTTTTAAGATGTTATTGTAAATGTCGGGTGTTATTTCTTTACATCCAAGTTCGTGTGCATATGAATTCCTGTATTTTGTAATAGACAGCCCACAAATCACATTAAGCTCTGCATAAGCTTCTAAGGCAAACTATTATTGACACCAGTTTGGTTGTACAAATAGCAGAAGGCTAGAAGCGTTGCCTACACCTTGCTACTTAATCATACTAGCACTATGAATAGGCGCTAGGTTTTATATTGAACTGTCATTTTTATCGTTCACAAAATTTCTACCTTTGAGAGACACTAACACATTAACAATTTATTCCGTTTGCTTCCTGTATTTGTATGTCGTTTTATCATCACTACCCTTGTCAGTTAACTCCCTCCTTTTGTATGAATGTGTGAAGCAGTCAGAAAGCCTAAGTATTTCACTTCTTGAATGGCAATTAGTGTGTTACTAAAGAAATTTTAGTTCTCACAGTCCTGTGTTATCGTTACCTCTGACTATACCATTGATTTCCAATTTAATGTGTACCTACGAAATACTCTTGATTGATAACACTTTTTAAAATCTCAATAGTTGATTGCATAGTTCACTACTAATGATTACGGAATTTTGTTTCTCGCTACAGGTCGGTTCATGTAGGCGAAAAATAGCAGAAAACTTCCTGAACTACATCCCTAATGGTTCAGTGATATTCTTACACTCTTATTCCCGTGTTGTTCTTGCTGCACTGGCGTATGCTGCATCTACTCAAAAGCGTCTTCATTGTTATGTGACAACATGTGCACCTAGTGGGCTGGGTGCAAAAATGACAAAAGCGTTGGCTAAATTAAAAATTTCCTGCACTCTTGTTCCAGACAACTCTCTTGCTTACCTAATGCCACAAGTCGACCTTGTTGTCTTAGGAGCTGAAGCTGTTGTGGAAAGCGGTGGAATATTAAATATGCTTGGTTCTTCACTAATTGCAATGACAGCATCTTCATTTGGTAGACCAGTTTATGTGCTTGCAGAATCTTTTAAATTTATGCGATGTTATCCTCTTGATCAGCGTCATATTCCTGATGAGTTCAAATGGTCTTACGATCATGAGTGTGGATCATTATCACCGTCAGCTCTATTAATTTTAAGAGATGGGAACAACTGTTTAACTCATGATGAAAATAACTGTGATTTTCCAGAAATGAAAACAGCATGGGCTGATGTTGAAGCACAAAGAGTTCCTGTAATTGAGCAAAAAATGCCTCGAGTAGACTATACAAGTCCATGTTACATTAATTATCTTATAACAGATCTGGGTGTCCTAACACCTTCAGCTGTTAGTGATGAATTAATTAAATTGTATTTATAATATTATGGTCATGAGAATATATATCTGTTCATACACTGACTGGTTCTTTTTCTTAAATTAACATTTCATTGCTAGATCCCAGTGTTTTCTTTTAAAAATTCTCTCTACTTGCTTTTTCAGTTTCCCAATATGAACGTATACACATTTGTGTACATCTTAGTTTGTTTGTTCAATACGAATATTTCAACAGTGACAATGACAATCGTAGATAATGACTCGTCAGGTTCTGCATCTCGTTTACTGGTTCTTCTAATTGATGGACTAAGATGGGATGTAATAGCTGGTCATTTAGAAAGTAATACTAATAAATTCGGATTCAAACGACTACAAAAAAATGGTGCATATTTGCAACGTTTCACTCCTGTGTTTCCTGCAGAGTGTTATCCGAACATTTACTCACTATTCACAGGTATACAGTATTTATGTTTTATATCTTATTTAGTTCAACTTTTTTCATGGTTAAATTCAAACATCTCAGAAAATACACGAAGCTAGTTGTATATGCTAAGCTGTCAGTCACGTAAAGCATTTGGATGTCAGTTCTATTATCTGACTCACTGATCGAAGCGTACAAAATGAGCTTAAATATGGATTCATGACTTACTGGTTCAGCATTTCATGTCTAAAACGATCAATTACATACAGTAAGTTGAATATAGCTCAAGGATTTGCGAATAAACTGCCAAGTAATTGATAAATTAATATGATGATCCTAACCACTGATAGCTCATATAAATTAAGAATTACTCCAAGGAACAAGATGATAATGTTGTAAGAAAATGAAGGATGAACAATCATATTGTTTCCGATCATATTATAAAACCATTTCAAACAGTATAAGTTAAGGCAAACATCTCATTTTGATTAGTGGTACATCTGACTTTAGGCAAAAAATAAAATAAAGTTTCATTGGGATGGTTACTAACTTCGATTTTAGGTCATGTTCGATATCCTTTGAAAACATTAGGTTCCATGGTCTTCATAAAACCACCCAATTAACCTCAACGGATGCTAATTGGTTACAATTTTCTTTCACTTCACGACCATATAATAAACCAACCACCTCCTGTTTATCTAACTAATTCTAGTGTCAGAAAATGGTGGTTTTATACGGAAGCTGTCTTGACATATTACGGTAAACATATCTAAATCATAAAGTTGGTTTTTTTAAAGACGACCTCACTCATTTTTCTGTTAAAACATACCATGGCATACTACGGTTATTACAAAGCATCATCGCGTAATTCATACAGTTCAAGAACAACTACCCCACACAACTCTATCATTGTTCTACTGGGTAGGATTCGACTTAAAGTGTATTTCTGTCATACTTGATGGCTATTCGAAATATTCCAAAAATCGCCCATAGTTGTTAAGATTGTTATGATTTATAAGAAAGTAAAAAATAAATAAATGGTCGAGGGGGAAAACATTAGTTTCACAGTGGTGAGGAAATAATTTGAGATGTATTTCAGTCTATATACTGTGTTATGAATTCTCTTCCTAGTATTCCTGAACACTATTCCACTCGACAAGTCCCCAAATCAGAATATGATTAAACTGGAACGCAATTATATTCCAAATAACAAGGTTGGACGGAAGCAGGCATCACAAAAATAAAAACCGTTAGTATATTTTGTGATTTTTACATAAGATTCCAGAGCCTCCTTCAAGTATCTGCTACCACTTATGGGTTAAGAAACAACCAGCCAGTGTGCCCCAACTCAAACCATCCGGAACATGCTTTAATCCAACCTATAACCGGCTAACAAATTGAATTTATTCAACTTCCCTTTTCCCACATATTTTTTTAATGAAACAATTTCTTACACCAATAGCTCTTCGCGAAACAATTAACATATTCAAGTGACTGGCTTCATCTCGAGCAACTTCGTTATCCAGTAGGAAGCTGTAAATTTTTAAGCCATCTAATTAATATTAGGACAGTTGTTTTCTAATAATAACGCGAACTTAATGATCATAAGTATTGTTATTATTCTATCGCATAAACAGATAATTTAGATAGTTTCTTAATGCCTACAAATGAAATGATGCTCCGATTTTCGTTAACAGGTCGTCACCCAATTGATCATGGAGTTATTCTGCCAACAACATTTAGTGAACATACAACGATTAATGGTAAACCTATTCGTTCACAAGTTGAAGGTCTTTGGGAGACAGGAGTAAAACAAGTGAGTTCTTCGTTCTTTTTTACTCTTTATCTTTACCTAATTTTCATTCTTCAAGTGTTTTGTCACTAAGACAGAGTCCTGACTTTCACCCTCTTAGTCAGGCTCAAATCAGAATACTCGGATTAGTCCATTTTCAACTTGTCAAAAACAGGTGAACTTCAAATGTTTTTACTATTATACGTTTCCTTTCAGATTATTGGAAAATACTTTGTTCCCTCTCGAAATTTATTCTGATTTGGAAGGAGTAGTAAATTTATCTATATTCAAGCATAGTAGGAAACACAAGTCTTATATTTTAATGCTGGTATAACTTATAGGTGATTTGTTGTTCGTGATTATACTGTAATTGTACTATTTAAAATATCGTTTTTTCGCTTAATATAAGTTTGAAAATTCATTAACTATTTTTCAAAGTAAACTTATGAAAGCCGAAAATAGGAGTATATTGTACTTCAGCATAAATGTGGCTTCCGTTATACTTCTAAGTTGTTCAAAACCCGAGAAAGATTGACTCGCGAGGAGCAGGCTGGTTTTCGTTCCGGTCAAGGATGTATTGATCATATCTTCACCCTCCGCCAAATGTTAGAACACCGCCATACTTATCAAAGGCCAACAATCGTAGTGTTTCTTGATATCAGGGCTGCCTTCGATTCGTTGGACAGAACTGTTCTCTGGGATTGTCTATTGAAGAAGGGTGTGCCTGAGAAGTTTATTAACATCCTAAAGGCCCTATATACAAACACCTCAGGTAGAGTGAGGGCATACAACCACCTTTCTCCATTGTTCCATTCAAGCAGTGGGATTAGACAAGGTTGCCCAATCTCACCATTCCTCTTCAACTTTGCCATCGATGACATTCTGGAAACAGCTCTGATGGATGCAAGTAATGGTGGTGTGGATCTGTTGTCTGGAGAAAGACTTCTCGACCCTGAGTATGCGGATGATATTGTCTTACTGTGCGATAATGCCCAAGCCATGCAATTCGCACTTAATCAGTTGGTAATCAGTGTCCGCAGGTATGGTATGTGCTTCACACCTTCGAAGTCCAAAGTACTTCCACAAGACTGGCAGAATTCTAACCCTGTACTCACTCTGGGTGGTGAGCAGATAGAAGTAGTCGAGAAGTTTGTGTATCTAGGTAGCTGCATAAATGCTGGTGGTGGTGTGAGTGATGAGATCAATGCACGTATAGTGAAAGCCAGAGTGGCTTATGCCAATCTGGGCCATCTTTAGCGCCTTCGTGATGTTAGTCTGGCTGTAAAAGGTCGGATCTACAACGCGTCGGTGAGAGCAGTTTTGCTCTATGCTTGTGAAACCTGGTTCCCTCCCCCCGAGTTGAGAATGTTAGACGACTCTCCGTGTTCGACCATCGTTGTCTCCGAAGGATTGCTGATATCTAGTGGCAACACCATGTTAGTAATGCAGAGGTTCGGCATCGTGTGTTCGGGCACAGAGACGATAATGCAATTGGTGTCACCATCTTGAAACACCGACTTCGGTGGCTTGGACATGTTCTACGAATGTCGTCCCAGAGAATTCCTCGTCGTGCATTATTTGCCGACTCTTGAACTGGTTGGAAAAAGCGGAGAGGTGGTCAGTGTATGACATGGTGTCGTGGTATGAAAGAAAGCTGCAAAGGGCTAGCTTCTGTTGGTCCTTCGCGACTCCCTGGCTGGGGTCCGAGAGATGGTGTAACACAGTGGCTAGAAACGTTATCAGATATGGCTCAGAATAGAAGCCAGTGGCGATCCTGCTGTAACCTTTTACTTCATAAAAAGTGGTTGTATCTTCCTTAACTGAAAGAATTCTTCTGATTGTACCTTTCCGTTTCCCCCACCATTGTTCTCTCTCTCTCTTTTCTTTTTATAATTCCCCACGTTCATTACTTTTTTTTCTCTTTTCTCCTTCTCTTCAAATTATCATTGTTTTGTGTGGCGAATATATATTTGGTGCCCCCCTGTACCAATATTTATGTGTTCAAATAAATAAATGAACAGCATAAATGTTGACTAAATTATACTCATTTTGACTTTTTCTTTCTGTTTTCCATACACAGAATAAAGGTGTTCATCTTTATCATTTGCCTATATGTTCTACCGAAGCTGGCGGTGAAAATAGTTGGTATTGTGAACCGTATAGTCAAGAAGTTATGAATCCTATGAATTTGAATGCTACAATACAAAAAGCTGTGGATGGGTTAAAAAATGGCAGTGCTCATTTAGCAGGTATTCATTATGTATATATATTAACCTTTATTCATTATTTTTATTCATCTTATTTTGTTACCATTCATCATCATCTTTACTGATTTCAACTGTCTTTTCACATTTTCATCTTGTTAATTTCCTCTCATAGTCAATGTGATATTGTAAAATGTATTAATTTGAGTTGATCCTTAAAGCTGTGTCAGATCTCATGTTGTTTAACATTGACTGATAAATTTAATTCATGGTGCAAAAGATATATATATATATATATATATATATATAACCTGTGATTTTTAGGGCTGTTTCCATTTTAATCTCCTGGATATCCGTACTTCAAATAGATTTATCTTGTATTCATTGCATTTAAAAGGTAGTTCCTAACAGAAAGCACTAAAATAAAAGAACTTTCTAGAAGCTCCACATAACTACTAATTTTATTGCTTTTTCGATCAATGATATTTAAGTTCTTAGATCAAATTAATGTTTAGAATACTTCATATTTTAATCTCTTTCTTTTTTATACTATTATTTTTACTTCGGTAACTTAATGTTTAAAAAGACTAAAGATAACCCGACTAAGTCATTTCAACAGTCCGTAGAATCTATGACTTGGTAGATTTTAACGGAATCGGAAGCTTTAATCACTAATAGGTTCTTGCATGTTTTACTACTACCAGACATCACTATGTACCGGCTTCTGTTGGTATTAGTTTTGTATCTTGTTACAGTTGTTAGCTCTATACCCACTAAATTTTTAAAAAAATATAAATTGGTTACGAATGTCTGATCATTGACTTTTTCAAGATGTTTCTGGATGATGGGATCATAGAGTTGGTAATACAGTTTCTTCGCATGAAATGAAAGAGGTGTGACTCATTTATCAAATACAGGTTCATGTTCTTGGATTTTAGTCACATTTTATTTGCATGAAAACTAATGATGCTACCTTTGTGGCAAATTTAATTTGGGTGAATAAGGCTTTGAACTTCTCCGTCAGTGACTGTATGCTCATGGCCATATGAGAGTATTTCGGGAGGAAAAGCTGACTCTCATCACCTCGGCCTACCAGGGCTTCATATACACAAATCACTGAAGTAAAAGTCCTTTAGATGTCTATGGGTTAAGTGTTTGAACATTAAACTTAGTAGATTATTACAGCCAAAGCATCTGTGGCTGTGTGTTTCAGGAATTGTATGTATGTTCGTGCTCAGAGACCTAAGATTTTTAGCTGTTCATCTTACTTTACAGCTCCGTAATGTTGCCTTCCTCACTATGACAAGTGGACAATCAAGTCTTGTTCTTGGTAATCGAAAGTGATACTTTATTTGCCGATTGGAATTCCCTGGTGTTTTATTAACCTAGAAGAATACAGATAATGACTTGCGAAGTGTATTCCTATCATGTTTGTTGGTTTTTAAATGTTTCGAATTTCCCAATTTTTTTATCCCTCGTTTATCATCTAAGAAATGGTTGTCGATAGTGTTGATTGAGACATTAAACGAGATTCATTTTTCATGATCAGACGTTTTTGAAGTATTTTGAGAATAAAATAGACAATGCCATCGGAATACTGCTTTTCAGTTTCGTTATTAATTTATATCCCCTTGTTTCTATGTTAACTAATCATTTATGTAGTTTTCACTTTTTTGTACGATTATCATTACTATTATTATGCATTAAAGTTCCTGAGTAGTCAAGAACTGTGTTTGCGTGGTAAGTAAATCTGTGTGTGTGAGTGTGCTTAACATATAATTTCTCTCTAACTACATTTTCTAACAATGATCATTTTGTTTTAATTAATAATAGTTCAAATTTTGTTCACAAATGTTTACTTGTCCTATCCTCATATTGTTTGTGCGTGTATCTAATACTGACAGTTTTGATAAAAGTTTATATTCTTTGTTGTACTGTGAAAGTTGATAGAAGTTTCACCTTATAAATTGAGTTTCAGTTAGGTTTGGTCTTTCTCAATTGTGAACAAATGGGAGATTCTTTCAATACAGAACAGGATCTATACTAACTTGATAAACCGAATGACGGATGATTACTACACAATACTTTAACAATTATCCTCTGCACGATGGATAAGAGTGAATTTTGCAAGAACGATTTATCTGTAGAGACCTTAGAAAAAACAGATAATTTACACTTCGAGTCAATTCAATTATAAATCGATTATTCGATGATTTCATCAAACAAAATAATCGACATTTGAACACAAAATCACGGTTGATCAATTAATACAATAACAATGAATTGAAAATAAAATGAACATTGAATAAGCCGTTACAAATGAAAACACAGTGAAAGCCAATGAACCAAGTTCACTTTAAATCAATATGTGAATTTTAAGATTGCTTTCTTCCTAAATGTGGTATTTTGGGAATTCCCTATCTCAGTTGTTATCTTTTCGCTAGCTGGACAATTTTTACATTGTAATGATGTGTTTTTACAAAATATGGCACTGTAATTTGCTCTATATCTAAATTTCTTGTGAATCCAACGTGTCTACCGAGATGTTTATTAGGTTTGTAACTAATGTTTTCCCTATGTTTATCAACATCGACTAAGGGGATTTAATGATTGTCGTGACATTTTTATTATTTTTTAAAATGCCTCTTATTTAGATTTAATTAAGTCATCACATATTTATGCTTATTGGGTTATAAGCCTCATTATGTAAAGATTGTGTTATCATCGTAACTTTCATAGATATAACGAGTTTCAAACTTACAACTCATAGGTTGAAAGTTAAATTCACAGTTACTGCGCATAAGAAATGATGTGACATAAAAGCCAATTTTTTTACAAATTTAATCGGCTCGTGTAATATAGGTGATAGGTAATGTAATTCAGTAGGTAAGTACGAGTATATCAATTCGATTTCGAGCCACAAGTTTCTCCATAACGGCCAATGTCACCATCCAGGTCTTCAATCCTAAGTACTTGATAAATCATAAATTCATGCATAGCTATTAACTATTCAAATTTTGTTAAAGTTACTTTTCACTACAAAATCAAAAATATTTTCTGTTTGGTCACAATTATTTTCACTTCCTGTTTGGGTAGACAAAATTTTGAACCAATGTAAATTATTTGATCAATTTTTTTTCTTTTCAAATTATTCCTAAAGTTCCATACAGAATGTCCGTGTCATACAACTGAACGAAATATCTATAATAGTTTTCATCTCTTATTCTAACTAACCATTTTAATAGATTTTTTCCTTATCTATTTTTTAAGAAATAGTTTGTTTATATCTAAAAAAATAGAGTTTAAAAATACTCCTAATTTGCTTCGTATTAGCGTGTTCGAATTCTTAAACCTCAGTAACCAAACATCAGCTCAATTTTCAAAGATTTATGGATTAGGCTAATGAATTTGCTCACTAGTCATCTCTTTGTTTATATTGACTATTAGTTTTATTCAAGTTTGAAAATTTCAATTTTTCATGTCTTTGGAAGAGAATGGGCTAGATTTAGTTTTCTCTAAAATCATTGTATTTTCACTCTACCTATGAGCAGACTATGCAACAGATAGATTGCAAACAAATATCTTCACCTATACTAATAAGACAGTCTAAGTTAACAGTTATGACAGATGTCTATGAAAGTTTTACTGCTGTAAGAGTATGTTGTCTAGTTGTTGGTGAGCAGATAAGCAGTAGTTTGTCATAGGTAAAATGTCTGTGCAAATCACTTTAGTCGGCTCAAATTATTAATTGTTTTACGTGTTCATCCCAAAATACTCATACTTTATAAACTATCCACATTTCATCGTTAAAATATACACCTATCACAAAAAATGGATTCTAATCGAATACAATAGTTCATTAACATTTTTTAGTACAGGATGTTGTAAAGAGACTAAAGTTACTTAGACAATCATTGAAAATCAGAAAATAAAAAATAGTTGTTTCATCGTAGTATGGGACTTCTCAATAATACCTATTCAAAATCCTACTAGGAATCGGATCTAAAAAATTTAGGGCTCCAGGGAAGGACTTAACCTTCACAAATCACTGACTTTGATACTCAATAGGTTTAGATTTATAACTTTCTTTTTAATTTGTGTAATCATTTGTCCGATTTCGGGAGTTCATATTAATTAACCCATCACTTTGTATGTATTCATTTTTGTTTGAATCGCCTTATTTGTAGTTATATCATAAAAGAATTATCATCTTATGATATAGTATATGGATTTATCATTTGTAAGGGATTTTACTTTCCAGTTGTTAAAGCCTGCAATAGATCAGTGGCTTTTTAACATATCTGCATCCTGAGTGAATGGCCTCCTTGTTGTCATTTAGTCACATGTGTTTTACTAAGTTTGGATAATGGTTTGGTGTGGATTTCGGGACACGCATTTGTCATGTTCCTGACTAAACCAGCCGGATGTACCCATATGCCATTGTTGATGTTCTCATTAAAATTTAAACAAAGTCCTTTTGCTCCAAATATCAACACGTTATCCACTGAGTTACAAAGCAGAGGTTATCTAAACCCAGTAGCTTATGAAATAACGCATTGGTTTTTGGAGCGAACGATTCTAGGTTCAAGTGTAAATTCTAACACTGGAATGCAGGTACATTTAGCTGACTGGACCTTTGATAGCGCGAAGATCAACTACTGAATTCCACTGCTACACATCATACAACTTTAATAAAAAATATGGACTTATTGCATGGTGAATATTACATACGTTATTTTTTGTTTACTCATTTTCATCTTTTTCTCTGTTTCAGTGGTATACTACGATGAATTAGATCGTATCGGACATAGATATGGTCCATTATCTAATGAATTAGTTCATAAACATTTGGTGTATTTGGATCATGTTTTAGACCATGCATTGAACATCATAGAATCTATACCAAATTTAAATTTAATGCTAACTTCTGACCATGGTATGGCGACAGTCTCACATCGAGCATATGCTGATCGTTATTTTAAAGGGTAAGATGAAATTTCTATCTTTGTTTAAACAACCATCATCATGTGTTTTTGTATGTCTGCATCAAAATCTACTTCGCCTGTGTAATATGTTTGCTATCTAGTTGTGTAATAAAATGAAAATTTGTATTTTGAAATAACGGTTTATTGTTACCACCGCTAACGTGTCCATAAAGTTATTGACCATCTGTCTGGACTGTGTTGTTAGGTGTAGACTACTCGGTTGGGGTCTGCATGGTTCAAGACATTGAATGGCTTGGCTTATTATGGATTGTAGGTGCATTCATTCCTTATCTTACCATAGATCTTCAGTTCCAGTATTCCTTTGTTTATACGTTTTCATTCTATCTTTTTAATTCATTTTATCAATTATTAGTCTTTCTTCATTGTTATTGCTACTACTGTAGTGAACAAGAACACCAATGGAGGACAATCGAATGTATTTGACAACAAATCACAGAACTAGTTAGTAAAATCTAACAACCATATATTAAATGCTCAATTTGCAAAATGTCCATCAATTGTCTCAAATGACTCAGACTTCCTTTGTTATTGCATTTTCACACAAATTGCATACTGTCCTCATTCTTTACTGTTCGGTCTTCTTGTCTCCCTGCTGCCAGGCATTCTGTTCACGGCAAACATCATATACTACTTATGTCTACATAAGTAAAACACACCACACTCGTCCCCCCTTTAACGCAGTCCTTTTTGCCGTGGTTCATGCTCTCCGTGCAACATTCTTTTCTGCAGTTTGTGCTACGCCCTCCGTCAAAATGTCGAGTCTGCCCCCAAATGTCCTGGTACGGCCGAAAGTGGGGAGAGTCCGCTCTACCTCTCGAAACGCTCTCACATGGCCACGCGTATATAGCCTCTGCCAGGGAAGTTCTACTCATTGCCTTCTCGTGGCGGGGGTGTTGTTTACGAAAATGAGAGGACGAAAAGCGAATGTCCGGCGCTTTAAGCGGATCCCAAACCAATGTTGCACATGAGCTCCAGTATCCTGGAGGAACAAATGGCGTATGAACCAATCGTCGGTCACCGGCTACCATGGGACTACATCTCCTTACGATGACCCACTGCCTTGTGGGTCAGACGTTCAGGTCGAAGGCTCGGGTGTGGCCCCCTAAGAAAACCACCTGCTTCGGTTTGGGCACCCGGGCAGTATCACAGCCCTCACACAAATCAATTGAGATTTGTGTGGCGCATATGTATTTGGTGCCTCCCTGTACCTATACTTATGTGTTAAAATAAATAAATAAATACTGCGGCGCGCTGACCTCCATAGCTCCGTCGACCTGCCGAGGCACCGACCTCCACCCGGCACCTAGGATGTTTGACACCCGTGCTCCACCGGCCTGCTGAGCCATCTACATCCGATGTCCGCCCAGCAGCCACACGTCCCACATGAGTAGCACACACCACACTAATACTAATATGTTATGTTAACTTGGGATTATTCACATCTATGGTAAGCTCTGTGTTAATCAAAACTGACTGGTTGATTTTTTAAAATCAAACTTGGAATAGCAGTTTGACCACATAGTTATTAAAAGGTATCATGAATCAACTTGAAGTTGATGAGTTTGTGAATTCTGACATGCTACGACGTGATTTTCATGAGAGAGCCACTTCAGTTATAGAAATACTAGGAATCATCGGTAAATGCTATTTTTATTATCACACTTTTATCGTAGATAATCTTCCGATCACAGTCATCGAACTGTTTAGAATAATTTATTGTTCATAAGATATTATCAGATACGGTTCAGTGTAGAAGTCAGTATATGTTGTGATCCATTTTTCTGTTACATTATCCATAGTAGTGAGATGAACCTTTTTAAATGGAGAAAATCTTTCCTGGTTGTATTTTCTTCAATAAATACTGTTCTTGTTCATTTACTTATTGTGACTGTACTCGAGCCCCCTCCCCTCTGCATTTATTCTCAATATCATCATTTTATTCATGAGGCCCATTTTCATACTGCCCTAATGTATTTGGATTTTTATTTGTTATAAATAAATGAGTCGAGGAAATCCTTTGTCGTATAATCTGTAAAACATCAATGCTAATATGACTTTAATTTTATTTCAACTAATGAATGTAATATTTCGACGAGATATTTCAGTGAAAACCTGGAAACACTGAACTGCCGTTTTATCCTAGAATGGTAGTCCTCAGTAGTGCCCATCCACGATCCTGCATGCAGGACTCGAGCCCAGGACCTTCGGTCTCGCGCACGAACGCTTAATCTCTAGATCACTAAGCCGGTGGCATCCAACGGTGTTGATGTCTCCAATCAAGTCATGATCTTGCACAACCATTAAGCGTTCGCGGGCGAGACCGAAGGTCCTGCATGCAGGATCGTTGATACGCACTACCGAGGACTCCCATGTTAGGACGAAACGGCAGTTTAGTGTTTCTAGGTTTTCAACGGTGGTCTAGCTTAGATTGATTCATGAATTCAACTATTAAAATTGCTACAATCTTCACAAACCCCCATTCTGATATTTCAGTTAGTTTATTTCACTGTTTTTTATGTTCATCTCGGTTGCATCTTCATTATTTCATCATGAAAAATGTCCAGTTTCTAAAATTAATTAGTTAAGGTAAATTGCTACTGAAAATATTCAACTCCTTTTACTCCACCAAACGAGATCAGTATAAGATATTAGTAATTAAATAGGTATTATTATTATTGATCGGCATTTTATTTTAATACTCGACTACCAATTATGTTTGTTTTATGGCCTATCCATATTTACGTGACCTTCATGTTTGTGTTTTGTTTATTTTAACATTTCGAACTTTATTTATGAAGCACAACTGCAAATTGAATTTCGATAGTAAGCAATGTGTTGTTTTTTTTCCCACATCACTATTTACGCTTATTACACAGTATTGATTAAAGTAAACGTAAGCCTGTGATAACGTGAAAAGGGATTTGACCAATTCATGACATCATTTCTACAAAATCACTGACTATTGACCTGGTTTTTCACGTGGTGATCTACACTTGTTAGTAAATTCTTCAAAACGATAAAAATTAATGGTTGAAAGTCTCAGATAACAAGAAATAATCCTTTTTTGTTGTGGCTAGTATTGTTGTCTAGTATCAACCACATTTCATTGTTTTTTTATTTCAATATCTTTCTCATCTTTATTAAACGTTTTCTTTAATTGATGTCGTATGCTATGTGGCATATATTTTATCATACTTCATATTAAAACAATTGTTATTCAACGTTGCGGACTTTCCGATTCTTTGTCCTTGCTGTGGTACTTTGCAACTTTGAACATTTTAAACATTGATCTTATGAATGGTGAATTTAAAAAAAGTCATTTAATACATCTGAACATTATCACAGTATATTTTGTTACATTCTATTTAAAATGCATTAATCAAGCACATAAGTTCACTGAATAGGTTCTGAGTGTAACGTTCAGTCTTCGGTAGGTTTATGTCTAGCTTAAAGGTACCCTGTGTGCTGAGGGAGTGTTAGAAGTAGTAAGTGAGATTATCTAGAATAGAGAAAAACAATAGAAAAAGTGAGACGACGACTCGGTATGCACATAGATTGCACTTATACTTAACAACGAAAGCAATTGACAACAATCAGAAATAAAACTAGCGTGAGATTAAGACAATTTGTTAATGGAAACAGAAAGTTGATAGTATGAGGTTTTGAACGTGTTACAGAATTACAATTAATTTTCTAACATTACAAATATTCTTTGTAAAATATGTTCAATTTGTTTCAAACAACTATTACTGGTTATGAAAGCAGTTAATAATTAATATGTGTCATATTCATCAGAATTTTAATATCCCTACAAATATCGTAATGTTAAACTAATTTAATTGGACTAGTGATAATCATATCTAGTTTTTCTCAGATAGTATGGTTTACAAATGTATAAAGTGTTTTGAAGATCTAACCTCTTCATCATAAATAAAACACTTGCAGAATTTTTGTTTCGAGCCTAAAACATACCTTAAGTGTAAATACTCATCCATATCTCCATATGTGTATTAGCTGTTTGGATCGATTTCTTTTTAGCAAAGTTGAATGGTGAGATGTGATATATTATGACATTTGTTTGTTGTAATTACCCCCACCCATATATATATATATATATATATATATATATATATATATATACCGGGAAATATGTTGTTACTTAGATCTTGACACTGCTGTAGGGAATCGTCATCCGAGCTGATCTGACATTTCTCATCGACTAACTGTAATTTTATTAAAAAAAATGTTAGGAGTTTTACTTTCTCTACCCTACTCCTACTTCAATAGTTTTCATACTTTTCCACCAAACTAGCGGAAATTCTCTTGCCAAACCAAAATGTGGCATCGATCCATAAAGTCACTAACCTTTGATCTGAGCCAAGTTGATAGATGCAGACTATTTTGTTGGGGTCCGCATGACTATCGTAACCAATGGTTGGAGACTCTTGGTGATATGGCTCAGAATCGATCACAATGGCGTAGGTGTATACACTCATTGTCTTCCCTTAAACTGTGAGGTTAAAATTACTTTATACCTTCCTTTCTGCGAAGTAATTCTCCCTTTATTATATTCCCATGTGTAATCTTTCTTTTATATATTACTGCCATTAAAGTGACTACTTCTATGAACTTGGTGTTCATCGTGTTGTGTTGATGAGGTATGAAAACTCGGACCGATGTATATATGTGCCTGATTCTGTATTGTAGCTAACTGATTGATTGTCTAATGAGCTACTAAGCGCTGATCATTTCATCGTAGATCTTTTCTAACTTACGAACCATTTAAAAAAAATTACATATGATTATTTTGTATTTGTTGTTTGTTCTATGCTTTTGTTTTTGTCAAAGTGATTATGTGGATATTGTCATGATGAATTAAATGTACATTGATATATTACATTGATTTTCTACGAATTATATTGTTTTTGTTAAGTCACATGAATCAATCTAGGATAACAGTGAATCAGTAAACATATCTCTATTGATTCCTATGTACTATTGCCTTTTCTTTGGTTATGTAATTATTGTTCACGACTAGTATAGAATTTAAATTCGTTTTTACTTAGTTAAATGTTTCTTTGTAATTTTTAAAAAAATTTACTTGCTGTACAGTCTTCAATTAAAATTGATGAAAATAATATCTAAAAATAACAACAGTTTTTGAAATAATAATATTTTAACGAAATTCTCCTTGAATATGTGTTTTGATAAATCTAGCCGACTGGTGATTGCAGTTTGTACAGATTTTAGGCTTCTCGATACAAACTTGGTAGTAGTGGGATAGAAGGGATATATTTTCATTGAATGAAATTCACGCTTTTAGGAGGCTAATTTCATTTCGTTGTTATGTGGGTGATAGGAAATAATCATTGGTTGTTTTCCCAGAGAGACTACTGATAGATATGTGATATGTCATACATCTTCCCCTTACCCTTTGTACATAGTCGATTTTTAGCTAATACACGTACTAGTCAGGCGAATAACGTGTTCTTGATTTGAGTTGTATTGATACCTTGTAGAATAGTGCTAGCTCAGTATCTAGTATAGAGAGATCGGTTCGACAAATCGTTCGTTGTTCGTCCTAAGGAATTTAGTGTTCTATTAGTGTAAAAGAGATATTATATGAGTTATTTCATGAGATACTTATTGTCTTTAATTTTTGGAATTATTTCAACGTACATTTAATAAAGCGTTTGGGCGTAACATGTCTAAAGTTCTAAACTTTCAATATTAATAGTTTACATTAATATCATCAGCCCCTCTCCTACACATTCAAACACAACATAGTTTAAATTTAAACATACAAATCAGTACTTTAATAGTTGAAAAAATCTTCGTGCCTTGTTTCATAATTCTTAAAACCATTGATTAACATTATTTTTTCTTCATTATTCCATGAATTCAGATTGTTACAGTTGAATTCATGAGTCTGTCTAAGCTAGGCCACCATTGAAAACCTGGAAGCACTGGACTACCTTCTCACCATAGTCTGGGACTCCTCAGCAGTGCGCATCAATGAACTCGCAATCGGAATCGAACTCTGAATCCTCGGTCTCGTGCTCAACCGCTTAACCTCTAGGCCACTGGGCCAACATATTGCCGCGTTAATATCTGGCTTCACTTAATCCATGATCTTGCGCAACCTTCATCTTTGCCTAGTCTGGATAGCTGTTTCACACCCGACACGGCTTGAACTCCAATGGTCACGGTTTCGCACTAGTACTCCATGAGTTACATCTCAAACCAAGTCACCAGTAAGCACATGACTATTGGTAGTGTAGGCAATTTGTGGAGATTTTAGAATTTTAACAGTTCAATTCACGAATAGTGTATGACTATTAATTCTGTTGACGTTTAAGTCATTCTTACACAAGTTGAAATCAAAAGAGTTAATTAGTTGTATTTTGTCTTTCAACTTCAATTATTTGGAATGAGATGAAATGAGATTAATACAAGTTGATATGTGTGCACGAAATCACTTCATACAGTTTTTTCCTCTATTTGTGTTTATCTAATAGTAATAAGTTATTTAGCAGGATATTTGAACAATTTAAAAATTTAACTTACATTGTGAGATCATCGTACAAAACCAGAATAGTTCTGGACATTTTATATACTAGTAGAGTTATTGTAACTGTTGAACAATTACTCGTCAATTTTTAAAGGTAATGTATTTTTTTGTTGCCTTTCCTTGTTTATAGCTCAGAGTTGGATAGAGTACTGAATCGTGGAAGTACATTGTGGATCTGGCCTAAACCAGAATTTGAAAACAATGTAAGTTGTTATCAACAAAATTCAACACACTGATTACCGCTTATCTGTCATTGTGTTTAACAATATAATTCCCATTTATTTAGTTCGTTTTATTTTTTTTAAAACATCAATTGTAATCTTAAAGTTTAATATGCAAATTTACATTCATGTTGATTATGCTATCAATATCCTACGTTTGATTAATGAGATTAAAGTCGGTTTTTTCTTGTATGTAGTATTTCGATATTTGGCATCCTCAATAGTCTCGTGTGTAGCAACTTGGGCCAGCCCACATTTATATCACTCTCTACGTTAATTATTTCGAACTGACTTGTTCATCGAACATATTGTATTTTTACAGATTATCATCATTTTTAACAAGTAAAGCATGGTTATGATCATAAGCTTTATAAAAATCCTTCTCTATAACAGTTCAAAACAAAATGGAGATATTAATGTCTAGAGTGATGGCTTAGTAGTTAGAGCATTTTACTTTCAATCAGTAGGTTATAGGTTCACATCCAACTTCACCGGGAGTAGTTTTATTATCCCTCACCCTTACCGTCTGACTTAAATGATAAATTCATAAACCTGAAATGGGTAACCAAGTTACATTTCTATCAAGTTGACAACTTTTACTCCATCCTGTTGATCATTTGCAAATATCAACACAGAAACATCAGTTGAGGAGAAACTTAAATAGCACGCCATGGAGAAACACAACACTATGTGGTTATCTTTAAAACCAACAATTTTATTTAAAAAAGGAAGTTTCCGTAAGATCAATAGAGAAACTTTACTATTCTTTAAGGTGGACAAGTAGTAAGAAGTATAAGATCACTGAATATTTCAGAATAATATTTAAGTGTATCATGGCCATTTTTGTTATGTGTTTTATTCAATATGACGTTTTTTTCACTATAACATACATTTGAGTCTTAATTATATAGATTTAACCAATAATCTGTCAATAAGAGAGTGATATTTCTCCATCATATATATATATATATATATATATATATATATATATATATATATATATATACGCCTGTTACCCCTCGTCGAGGAGCATAGGCCTTTCACCAGTACTCTGTCCTGGGCAACTCTTTCCAGTTGCTATTCATCTTTCTCATGTCTGCTTCCAATTCTGGACGCAGTATGTTCGTCGGCCTTCCACTTTTTCGTTTACTTTCAGGTTTCCAGGTAAGCGCTTGTCTCGTGATACACTTTGATTTCCTCAAATTATATCCTATCCACTTTCAACTTCTTTTTCTAATTTACTCCTCCACTGGAAGCTAGTTTATGCTCTCACACAGTAGGCTGTTGCTGATGGTTTCCGGTCAATGGACCTTGATTATCTTGTGTAGACAACTGTTTATAAATACTTGTACCTTTTTTTATAATGTTTGTGGTAGTTCTCGAAGTTTCAGTTCCGTACTGTATGACTGTCTTGACATTCATAATTGATTATTCTGAGTTAATATTATTGAGTAGATTTTCATCTTCACAGTTGCATACTTTTCTTTTCATCTTCTTCAAAACATTTAGGTTTATAATCGTTTATTAATTCAACAAAGTAAATCTCCTTTCAGTGTATACAATTCATCAACAATTCCTTCACATTGGGAAATTATGACAAATAATAATTCATTATTTCCACCGATATTGTTAATCGCCTCACCGGACTATATATTTCATTCCAATGCATGGCCATTAAATATGAGTCATTACAATTTAATCAATCCTAAAGGAATGCATGGCTATGATCCAGAACTACCTGACATGCATATTCCATTATTTATTTATGGTCCGAATTCTAATCGTGGTGCTCAATTAAATTTTACCAAAGAAATTCGTCCAATTCATATACATAGTTTAATGGCTTATTTATCATCGATTAATCTGCCAGATTTCCGTTCACTCGATTTGTTCAAACCATTACTTTCACACAATTATGATTATCACAATAATCAGTTGTCACCTGTGCTGAATAATTTATATTGGTCATTGAATGACAAGTCATCATCATTATCATTTTCTTCAGTATTACATGGAGATCGTTTTATGGTGGCTTTTCTAATCGGAGCAGCAGCGTTAACTTGTTTCTTTGTACTAATTTGCGCTCTCATCGTATTAGCCTATATTAGGTGTCGTATTTCATTGATGACTACACGTGTAGTCGGTTGTCAAGATGAATTAAACAAGGTATTAGTTAAGTCTGAGGTACTTTCCGAAGCTTAACTTCTCGTTCATACTGTGTTCTATGCTAATGTGTACGTGTGTTCCTTGTCTTTTTTTCAACTAGTCTTTATCCCTTTTGAACAAAAAAGAATATATTTATAGCACTCAGGTTTTTTTGTTTGATGAAAGACCATATATCTTTTTTGTCGCTAAGTTACTCTTATTGTTTTGATAAATCCTTTGTGAGATCCATTTCAAATAGATTATGAACTGACTAGCACACAATAATCCTTTCTCTTCACTATTTTATAGAATATATATCTACATGGGATATTTCTCAGGATATTGAAATTGTCACTAATTGTCAATATGATTATAACCGCTTTTTAATGTAACAATTATACTAATATTCTACTGATAAGTGTGATGACAATATTAGAGTCATAATAATAACAACCATTTTTTGATTATTAAAACCTGATACTCAGTATAATATTAATATTCTTTTATTAATCGAATATGTAGTACCTTCGTTCTGCACTTCTTTGCGCCTTGGAATTTCTGTATATGCGTGCGTGTGTGCGCACTCACCTGTCCAACCGACCATTCATTGTATGCATGTATCATCTACTTCACCGCCTACGCCTACAAACTTATTTACCAATTCTACAAAGATGTTTTTTTTATTTGAGATTTAATATTTGTTCAATTATTTCGCCTTATTTGCCTTAGTGATTTCGATTCTAGTTCTCTGCCTTCTTTCATTATCATTATTCCTGTTATTGTTATGTATTTTATAGGAAAAAAAAACAAAAAAAGAAAACATGTACTATTTGCCTAGTTCACTTCGCCTCCCCATTATGTCTCTTTCAATTGCTTGCTAGCTTCTCTTAATTGGCTTTCTTTCTTTCTGTGAGTTTTGTCTTACGTAAAAGAGTATAGCGAAAAAGTAGTTATTAAATTTATCAATATTTTTGGAAAAGAATATCCTGTCCTTGTTTTTGTTTTCCCCTTGCAAATATTTCTTAGTTTATAGGAAAAATTAGTCGATAAGAGGGAATAGTGATAGAGAGAATAAGTGAGGAGTAAAGAAAATTAAACTCTAGAACTAAATAATGATTTTGTATATACTAAACACCATTTAAACTAAAAATAATTTTCTTGTTTCAATTATTACGTTACACCTTCGTTTAATTGACAATTTAGAGGAAAAAAGAATTTTGTGCCTTTTAGTAAGTACTAATGACTAACAATCAAATATTGGATTTGTTCTGTTTCAAATCTGTTCATTAAATGTTTTTAAAAATGTATTAATCAAGCATAACTCATTTAACCGATATAAATTTGTGTAGTTAACTGTATGCCACATTCTCAGTATACTATGACCTAGTGATTTTTGTTGTCCGAGTACCCAAACAGAAGTAGATGAAATTGGATTCAAAGCTGTGATCTGGTCATTGAAAGCCAAATAATTTCATCATTGAACCACTGTTCTAGTTAGTTATTATGGAAAAATGACAGAATTTCATTAATAATTCAATTATTATTTGATTCATGAACCGATTTAAGTTATACTACTATTGATAGCCTGGATGGTTTTTTCGCATTAGTATGGAAATCCTCAGCAGTGCGCACCCACGTCCTCGCACGTAGGAGTCGGATTCAGGACCTTCGGTCGCACGAGAATGCTTAACCTCTAGACCACTGAAATTCAGTATTCTCCACAAACTGATAGTGAAAATTCAATTATCATCCGTTTAACTTTAATACTGATTCTCACTGTTGTTGTAGAAACAGTTAATTGTAAAAGTGTCAAACATCATTTCATTCGAAAACAATCAAGGCGAAATCTGCCAGCAAAATATAGAATTGGATTTTGAACCTAAACAGCTTTTAGGTTATGCATCGTCGAGCATGTATTTTGACTCCGCGATGGGTCAATCTACTGTTTGGCAACTTCATATTAATGATCGGAGGCCTATAATTTGAAATCTATGTCATATTGGCATCACTTAATATAGTAGTCGGTTTCGCACACATTTTAATGTGAACCCGTTCAGTAACTCTGTTTTGAAATGTTGGTTGTGGTTTTATAGTTATATTTATCGGGTACCAAATTTGTTCTCCATTAGCATGTGCGTAGTTTGACTACCCTTATCTCAGTAATCTTAATACCTTTAGTTATATGTAGTGAACTATCCACTGTCTGGTGTATAGAGAATGCTTTAACTTGCTACCTCTCGAAATATTTGTTTTTCCATATTTCTGTTGTGTGGGTTGTCGCCTGGGTAATCGAACCGAAGTAGGTGATTTTCTTAGAGAGCTACTACCCTAGCATGCAACCAAAGATTTAGTCCGCAACAGTATCAGAAAATGCAATCCCGTGGCAATCGGTCTTGCAAATCCCCTGGGGAGGTACTCTGTATCAACCGACCAGTCTTGATTTTTGCTTTTCGTCCACTTTCAGAAAAACACTGGAGGAAGTAAACTAAATCCCTCGTGTTTACGATCATTTCGCTAGGAAGAGGAGACTCAATTTACTCGTTCTCATAAGAGGCTATATGTATGGAAATAACGTTATAGAAAAAGGGAATAAATGTAAAGATACCACACCAACCGATCATTGAATAAGAACTTATGTCATACTGTTTAGTTTGTAATAGTGATAGGATTTCGTCAAATGGTAAGCAATTCATTATAGTTGTCTATTTTGGGGTTAAGTAGTTGAAAACAATCCAACAGTGATACACTAATTACAATATTGAATGATGTATGTTAGAATCTCTGAGAACTATCTTCAAGATAATAGTGTATAATATTTTGTAAACCACCACGTTCATTATCCTAGTTTCCTTTCATATCCTTCAATTACGTTAAAAGTTCACTTATTCTATTAAAATTTATTTACTCGATATACATAAATTATCATGTGATATAGTCTGATCTTAACTGACACTCCCATTCATGCTTATAATTAAAGTTTTTAGTCCACTGACGTTATATTATCCAAGTGATGGAGACATATTGAGTTAATGTATGACATTCATTCCATTCGACAAGTGATATGTCTCACTTGATGAATGTACGTCAAGCAATGTTTGATTCAATTCTATGCAGATTGTTGAAGATCCCAGATTTAAAATGAACTAGCTTCCTGATTGCTATTCATTTTACAACGGAAACTATTTTCAAACGTACTATTCGCTGCATAGTTCTTATGTATTCTATTCTTTTTTGTAACATTCGTTACTAAAAGATTATGGTGAATTGACTTACACCACATAAACATCTACGACAAAGTGCTTGATGTACATAAATTGAAATGAAATTGTATCTGAAAAAATCTAACATTTTTTGATAAAAAACAATATTTTAAAAATCATGTTTACTTAATGTTGAACATTTTTCTCAATTTACAGGTAATTAGTTCATTATCAAAATTAGAACTCATCTTCCTGACTTTAGTGGTAAATTTAAATCTACAGTATCTTATCTATACTCGATAAGTGTATGTTAACCACAAGAGGAAACTGACATGAAAACTGTTTGACTTTTATACAACTACATGATATCAAATATAATACAATTAAATGTTGAACTACTTATCTCAATGGATGCCTTTTTTGAAATTTCCTCAACATAGTTATATAATTACTCAAAAGTTTTAAATACGCCATAAGTTCATGCTGCGAACACCATACTACTCTCCTGTAAATTATGATACCATGTGATAGATAAGCATTTTAATCATATTTGACACCTCAGTATCTGTAATCAATTATGTTATAAGTTGTAGTTTTATGCCCTATCAATATATAACATAAAGATACCGCTAATTAGAGATTAGTGACTTAACCGGATTAATGACACATAAACTCGTACGAGCAGTTTAGAGTTTTATCAGTCTTTCCTGCCTAATCCTTCCTGTTTAGTCCAGAACACAAATCTTAGCTTTCATGTTAAGAATCATGTATTTCAAATATACTAGATTTATACACATACCAAACAGACTACATCATACCATAAAATAGAAAATAACATTTGTATAGGATCAAGTCAATAATAGTTGTGTATGTAAAAGACTGTAATTAATAAACTAGGCATAACTCAAGAATAGTAAAATGTATAGTAGTCTAGAGGTCAAAATAAAGCTTACAATAAGATGAATATGAATATACATAGTTTAGTTGCTTAACAATTATACTATATATATATATATATTAGACCATAAATTGATCCCAACATTTACTATTCATTATTCTTGTCAAGATAATATCAACTTATAACTTACATTCAAATTCAATATAAACCTTGTGCCAAATATATTTTCATTACTTTTACTTATAATATCATTCATTTCTATAACAAACATACAATATTTATTCAGTTCATATAGAACCTACATTTCAATTGAATTTTATTATTTTATAGCATAATTTTATATAACTAAACTACATTACATCATTTATAATTTTCTTGTTTAAATCATTCATTCATATCATTACTTTAGGTGACCTTGACATACTTATTTTTTTCTAATAGTAACATCTATGCCTAACACTGTAAAGAAAAATATTCTCAAAACATTATTATTATTATTTTGTTTTATTGAAATTGTCTCAAATATTTTGAATAATAATAATAAATAAGAAATTGTATGTGTGTATATTTTCAAAGAATTTCGATTATTATCTCATATTTGATCAATTTAATGATTTATAAGTGAATACGATTTTTCTTTCTTCTTCTTTTCGAGGCTCTTTTCTTTTTTTTCAATATTTTATTTTTTAAATTTATATTAACTAAAAAAATATTTCATTTCTTGATTATGTAATTCTATAGAATGTTGTTAATTATAAACAGTATAGCGTTGTGGAGATTACTAAGTAAATGATTGAGATCTTGAACTGATCGATATTAGATTACCATTGAAAACCTGGAAGCATTGGACGATCATTTTATCCTATTGTTAGACTCCTTAGCAGTGCGCATCCACGATCCCGTTCGCAGGATTCGAACCGTGGTAAGAAGCCGTTACCAGTGGAGTTATTGCATATTGGGTAGAGACAGGTATCTACCTCAGTACAATGGAAGATCGTCGTGCGATTTTGTGGACTGGAAGCCGGCTCATTGGTCAAGTAGGTTAAGCGTTCGTGCGCGAGACTGAAGGCCTTGGGTTCGAATCCCGCGAACGGGATAGTGGATGTGCACCGCTGAGGAGTCCCCACAATACGATGAAACGGTCGTTCAGTGGTTCCAGGTTTCCTATGGTAGTCTAACATCAATTGGTTCAAAATCTCAATCAATAAATTATAGACAAATTTTCATTTTAATCTCTTAATCTTTATTTTGAAAGTACTGTTTATTTACATGTTTACTTTTAAAAGTATCTGATTACAGTAAAACAAAACTAATATTATGAAATATGTTTATTTACTATTTTACATGATCAATAGTGTATAGAGGGAATTAAAATCGACTTTTGTTTTGTTATTACAGTACAATAACATTGAAATAATATTGTATAAATTGAGAATCATACAGTAAATGATTCATTTGAAAAATGTTCATCAACTGTTTCAGACTTTATTGTTCTTTCGTTTTCATTTCCATCACTCTCTGTTCTCGTTCATTTCTCTTCGATCTTCTGCCGCCAGGTATTCCACTTTCGATTGGTGTTACATACTACTTATATCTGTTTGAATCAGTAGCATACACTACCCTGATAATGTAAAAATATTTTTTTCAAAATAGTTCACGTACAAATGTATGAACCAGTATATTGTCTTATAATTACAGGTGTTCCGTATGCTAATTATGTTGACAGATTTAAGTATTATGTAATAGCAGTCGAAAGCAGGATGCCTGTTAGCAGAAGATTGAAATAAAGAGAACAGGAAGGAAATCGAGATATAAGACAAAATTAGAGGAATATTTGAGTATATAAAGTATAATACGAAGATGTGAAAATAATTTCCGTATT